GTGTCCTTAAATAGAGGTTAGCCCTCTGTTCTTAGTCAACTCAGCCCAATATTTGTAGCACAACCTTACCAAAATGTGCTGATCCCCACGATTATTTTGTGGTGGTGGGATCAGCATATTTTGGTAAAGCTGTGCTAAAAACAATGTCCTGCAAACAACATGGAGGCCATTCACCACACGCTGCCTCTTCACCTGTGCTGCTGAAATTCAGCATTAAACCCTACTGCCACATTTCGGCAGCGAACTGCTAAGGGCCATTAAAGCAAGCATGGAATGCTTGTTTCCAAGAGGGAGTTCTGGTCTGATGTCAAAGCAGAATCCAGAAACATACACAAAGAAACCCTACATTACACCTGCCAAATTTACTGCACTTAAGAAGCCTCTTCCCGAAGTCAGTGTGGTGTAAGCAAGAAAAGAAACAAACACAGCCAATGGCTAATTAAGGCTGGAAAGTGAAAAATTCCTATATGGCCCTTTCAGTCATCCACCAATTACCCCACAAGGAGCCAAGGGAGGGGGCAAGTGCCAAGTACCAAGTGAAACTACAGTGGGAAACATTACAGGACTTAAATGGTCTGACTTGGTCGTCTATTAAGCAACTTTCTCTGGGCTGGGAGCAAAATTGCTCCCCCCCCCCACTCATCAAATAATGGGATGGGGAGAATGACAGCAGTCTGTTTACAAAGTTCAACAGGGATTGTTGGGGATTTCCATGTGTGCAGCTAACACTGTGCAAGGTTCTGTTGTGGAACTGACTGCAGAATTGATTTCACAATCTGTGGCATATCAATTGCACAACCAGTGGCACAACAGACCCTTCAGTAGTTCTACCATTTGGACAACTTAACTTGTGCATGAAAAATTCCCCACAGGATATTGGCCAGAATCTTGATAGTCAGTAATACATATATCCCCCATACTGTTGATGAATGCCTGAATCCTTCTGTGTAGAGTAGACATGGGGACAAATATAAAAACGAATCAAGATATTCATTAAATATCCCTGATTAATCTGATATCTGTTATTTTGTATACTGGGGTCCAGAGATCCCAACGAATATGAAGCAAAGAATATAACCCTTTTATTTTCATCCCTTTGTTCCCTATTGGCTTATGCCCCGCGGATCAGCTGTTCCTTGGAGGGCATAAGCAGAGAGGGGTTTTCCTTTCGGGTGGCTTGCTAAACCCTATCAGAAGGGAATCACAACCCCGTGGCTCATGGATGGCTTGGTTCCCCTTTCTCCTCTTCCTATGCCCGCATGGCATAAGAAGAGGAGGCAAGAGATCAAAGGAATCACCCAGCCCACAGCTGGGGGATCGCTTTGATCCCCGCTTTCACTCCTCTTGCTATGCCCCATGGAGGGAGGCATAGAAAGGAGGGAAAGGAATCAAAGCAATCTTGCAGCAAGGCAGCACGGCCGTTGGATCGCCTTGATCCCTTTCCCCCTGCTCTTGCTATGCCCGTGGGGCAAAGCAAGAGGAGGGAAAGCAGGAAACAAAGTGATCCCGCAGCCGCGCTGGCTTAGGTTGGGGGGGTCGCTTCGATCCTATTTTAACTCATCAGCTGGGGCTTTTTTAAAAAAGACAGCCCCATGGGCTGTTTAAAAAAAGGACCCAACAACAACAAATTGATTTGTTGTTCATTAGGTTATGGGGGGGCAATTCGTGGTATGTGGGTCATCAAGTTGGACAATCCACAAACCATGATGAAGCACCATTTTGGTGCTTCGTTCCCATCTCAAGTGTAGATATTCAGGAAACTAGTTAAGACTGTTCTTTTTGTAGCCACTTTCACAGGCTAGTCATGGCTAATGTAGTTGCATGATCCTCCACATTGAATCTTCTAGCTTTCCTTTTTGATGCCACTTCTTCTGGTGGTCTTCTGGGATTGGTGTTTTTGGAGTTGTTATCTTTCTGGAATCAGTATCAGAAAGTTATTACCATAACTCTTTTCTTTTACTTGTACATAGTATGTTTTAGCTTAGCTTAGTTTAACTTCTTTCCTGTAACAATGAAAAGCACCTATCATGGTGTTAACTCATCATTTCCACATGGAGGCTTTAAGCATGCTTTTCTATAACTCAAAACTGCCTAGCTGTTTTACCAGGAAACTAGTACTGAAATATTAATAGCCACTTATCTTAACTGCTGCAACATTAGTAAGACAGAAGCTTATTAATAACTACTGTTTTGCTACAGAGAGTCTTACAGGATACTTAGCAGTATATTTCTAAATTAAACATCTTCTGCAGGTGTAGAAAAAACATAAAATATCATAATCTTCTTATTTTAATTGTGTCATCAACATGAAGAATCTATTGCTATGAATGCATCAATGTCCAGCTTGTGCAACTTTAAGCCAGAAACCATACGCTATGCAAAGGGCAGATTTGTTCAAGGAGCACTTTATGCTCTGCATATAATAACAGAATCCTGACCCTGATGCCTTAGATATAATGAAATATGTATAACTAAGAATCTTTGTCCGGTATGAGATAATCTTTGAACATGATCCCCGAGTCAATAAAAACCTTCCTCAGTTGCTCCACACATTATTTGTGTGTGTGTGTGTGTGTGTGTGTGTGTGTGTGTGTGTGTGTGTGTGTGTGTGTGTGTGTGTGTGTCATTTCTATGGTGTGCTTTCATACAGAAAACTTATAAGGAGTGGTGGTATCTCCTCCTCTCTCCTTGGTTCACTGCATGCGTGTGTGTTTGTGTGATCTGTAGCCTTTTGAACATTGACTGAACAGTTGTACGTTAGCTGTGCTGACTGTTTTATGATGAAAGGCTGGGATCTCAGCTGGGGAGCATAAGGAAGGTCATCTGCCAGCTGTCTTACACTATGAGGATTTAATGGGGGAAACTAAGCTAATTTGATTGTTTGGCAAAAGCCTCCTTTGATCTTCTTGTATTTATTTCAGTTACTCAGTATGTAAGCACAGGGTGCTGAGAAACACAGAATGAGTGGAAACATATTACTCAAAACCAGCTTGCCTCTCCTCTCCCCCTTCCCAAAAGAGCAGCAGTGTTTATCCTTTCACTCATGTCAGTCATGAATAAGTGACAAACTTTGTGATGATAAATGTCTAACTCTGCAACTCTATTTGAGAAATTTAATTTTGAACTCAGGAAGAACAGCACTGGCTCAGCTGTAAGATCTTGTGTAGTCTAGTGCCCCCTTTTTAGTCTCTGGCCTACAGATTTTTGGAAAAGCCTGTGGGCATAAGAGAAATAGCTCTTCCTTGTGACTTGCCTCCTACCAACCTGGCTATGAATAAGGGGCTTCCATATGGCCATTAGTCAGAGGGCTGGATCTGCAACTATTTCCTTGAGAAATTAGAAGATTTACCCTCTCAATCTTGAAAGAAAATTGTGCATAAACAGTTCCCTCGATGTTCCATCACAGATACTGTCAGTTTTAGATATATTGCAATTAAAGACTTGTATATTTACAAGTTATGAGTTCCAGTATATACATTGCAATATATACCCTGTGCTTGTATACCTTAATATAATTAAAATTCTAGTTATATTCTAATTGATACTGTGTTTGTAGTGTTGATAATTGGAACAAGACCAGTTCCTGCATTCTTTTTCTTTACATCCGAACTAAGTCATACTTAAAGTCGATTCTCTAAAATCATTGGAACTTGTGTTAATCATGCCTTACCTCTGCACCATTGATTTCAAAGACTGTTCTAAATCTGGGTCAATGAGGAATAATAGCCCCACTGACAGGTCTATCCTCCATGAATTTGTCCAGTCTCCTTATAAAACCATCTAACCTGGGCCATCAACACATCATACAACAACAACTGTGCGGGTTATCAAGCATTATGTGAAGAAGGAGTGGGAAGAAAATCCTCTCCTCGGGATCTGCTATGATAGGAGAGGAAATTTTAATTTGAAGGATCAGTTGTAGAATGTTAGGGTCTAACTGAGTTATTTTGCTGGGGTTGCTAATAGAGAGCGGGTTTTCCTGTTTTCACAGCACCAACAGAACCACTGCTGTGCAAATTTGCCGATGGCGGGCAAAAGAAACGGCAGAATCAAAGCAAGTACACACAGAATGGGAGGCCGTGGCCAAGAGAAGGAGAGGTGAGTCACAATTATTTGCAATCATTTGTTGGGTGTTTGGATGGAGATCCTTTGTGACAGATGTGAGGGGTCTTCATGAAACCAGAGCAAAATGTAAAAGCATAGTATGAGTGAATATGTGCCAGGCTTCAAACGCTTTAACTCCAATCCCTTCTGTTGTATTAGATACCTAGCAGAAGGAATAGAAGCTAGAGCCTTAATCTACGGTGGATTTGTACAATTGTGAATCATGATACATGTTCCATTGCTCATAATATATTTTGCTGGATCCTCCTGACTGCTAGTTGAAGTTGAAATTAGTGAAAATTAGTGTAAGATTATGATTGAATATAGTAGATTTTAGTGGGAACCAAATGCTACTGATTTAGTTTGCAACGTCCCAGTGTCTCCAAATAAATAAAAGCATATTTCAGTGCAGTGGTGCAGAAAGCATATATATATTAACAGGGTCAACAAGCCAAATTATTAGTGGTGAATCTAGTAGACATTATGGGAATTGGGGTCCATGTGGCAGGCTTCCCTTCCTTGGCATAGGAAATATGCTAGGGAAAATTTCCTCCTCCAACTACAGAGATACTTCGCATACTACTAGAAGTATACTACAAATAATGTAACAAAAAGAATTCCTTAAGGCACGTCCACAAAACAGAATAACACCTCCTAATTTCAAGCTTGTACTCTGAAAAGGAATTATACAGTCAGCAAATCCACTTTTCTGTTTTGCTACATGATTTTTCTCTAGAGGTATGACATTACTATTATTTTGAATATTACAGTTTGGGAGATTTATCAAGGACGGAACGATTATCTTCAGGCTCAGGTTTAAGCCCAGGGAGCCAGTCGGCCTGCTCTTAATGACAAGTTGTCTTCTGATTCTATTATGTAACGAAGCAAAATTTATTGCGCCTAACCAGTTATTTCCCAGAAGGCCACTGGAACAAGTTGATTTAATTTTTTTTTCTTTTTTTTTTTTAATTTATTCTTTATTTTATTTAGGAACAGGGATATTAATTATACCTCACCTGTTCCATGTGTCCAGACTTAAAGTAACTTCATATATGCCATAAGAAATGTTTTGGCAATTTTAAAAATCAGTTCCATGTTAGCCTTCTTCATGAATAGTACTAACATGTTCAGCTATTTATATCGGTTGCCTGAATTTATTTGTTCAAAAATCCTTGCAAAATTTTAAGCATAGTATTGATGAAATTACTGTCTGTTTTTTTTTTTCCTATAGAGTGTAATTAGAGTTACTCGGATAACAACTTCCTCTTTCTTGCTTGCTTTCTTAGCTTGTTTGTTTTGTTGGCAAATATTTTGGGGACTATTGGTCAAGGGAGGATTAAACTTTTGTTTGTTGTGCTGCACCAAAGATGCCATGCATTCTGAAAAACACACAACCTACTCAGTTCTGTAAGACAGTTATTAGATAGGAAGCAGCCATGTCTGCTGAATTGCACTGGTGTGAATTTCATTTGGTTTATGCCAGTTTCTGCATAAATCAGATGAAAGTACCCATGAGGTGTTTTTTTTTAATCTCCATTTGTTTCTTAAGGAAAAAATATATATTTGGAAGTCATAGGAGGCAGCAGTTGAGAAAGGTTTGATCATTTGAGTAGAGTTCTACTGAATGGATCCATTGTTAAAACTGTTAATGGCTGAAATCCTGTTTGTGTATGTTCCACAGGGTAAAGCTGATAATGTTGTTAGCTGGGGCATTCTTGTTAGAAATTAAACATTTCCTTCTCCTATGTTAAGGAGGCTCCAAGTAATCCCTTCTGTCATCAGGAACCCACATGTGCCTTGGGACAAGATGAGGAAACATTAATTTAAAAAATAAAAATAAAAATGTCTCAGATGATGACTTCATCACCCTCACACTGCCAAGAACAGGATTCCAGCCAATATTTCTTGAAAGCTGAATATATTTAAATAAATTAATTGATCAGGAAATCATGCTGTTGATTCATATTTCTATAATTATCTATTTCTGTGACAGCTTCTCCTATTGTAATTTAGTGCTCAGTGACAACATAGTTTCCATTTCTGAACAGAAGCCAGCATTTCATTTAATATACCATATGTTGTCAAGTCATATTAGGTATCATTTATATTATCATACACAAATTAGGCACTGGACGATAAGATATTACCAGTAATTCTTCTACCTGTTGTATCTAGCAAAAATGCAGTTGTCCAGATTTTAAAATATTTTGGTCTTGGTATGAGATGACAGAGAAATTGATGAGTGGTATTTTTGTTTTGTTTTGTTTTTTGTTATTATTTGCCATCATGTCACCTTTAACTTAATGAGCTCAAAAAAAATCCTATTATTAACCAACCTGTTTTGCTCTTGCTCGGTCAAGTCCATGGTTTCTTTTACTGAGTAATCCATCTTACTTTAGGTCTTTCTCTATCCTACTGCCTTCAACTTAGCATTATTAACTTTTCTAGTGAATCTTGTGTTCTCATGATACGTCCAAGGTTAAGTTTAGTCATTTTAGCTTCTATTGAGTGTTCAAGCCTGAGTTGATCTAGAATCCATTTATTCATCTTTCTGATGGGCCCTGACTTACCTAAAACTCTTATGCAGTGACATATTTTGAATAAATTGATTCTTTTTTAAATGTTCATCTTTATTTATTATTCATTTTTTTCATTTGTGTACAGAGATCAAAAATATTGTAGTATGAAGGGTCTTTAAATTGTTCCCCAACAGCACATCTAGATACTTGAGGATCTTTTTAGTTATTTTTGTAGCTGTCCTTCCAGCTATGAAAAAAAGGCTTCTTCTGATTTCTTAGCTAAATGTTCATTTTGATCGATGATTGAGCCACAGTATAAAAGATTTCAAGAATTTTATCATCAACATTAAACCATGTGATTCTTCTGTAGTCATAATTTTTGCTTTCCTAACGTTCAACTGTAATCATGCCCTTGCACTTCTTTCTTTAACTTTCCTCATTAGTTATTTCAAGTCATTGCTATTTTCTGCCAGTAACATTGTTTCATGTGAGTGTCTTAAATTGATGCTTCTTCCATCAGTTTTCACTCATCCTTCATTTAAATCTAATCCAGCTTTCTGTATGATATGTTCTGCATACAGATTGAACAGACAGGGAGATAAAATGCACCCTTGTCTGACACATTTGGCACTGGAAAGCAGTCCGTTTCTCCATATTCTGTCTTAATAATAACCTCTTTCTACATAGGTCATGTACCAGGACAATCAGCTGTTGTGCTACATCAGTTTCTTTTAGACTGTTTACTCAAACTTTAAGTCCCATTTAGATTAATGGGACTTACTTTCAAGTAAATGAATATGGCATTGTTGCCTCTGTTTAATTTTCCTACTAATCTTAATTGCATTATTGCAACAAGCAAATTGAAAAAATTATTTTTTTCCTTTTCCAGATCTTCTGGAAAATGACTCTGGACAAAATACATTTGCTATTTGTTCAAGCATTATACTTTTCAGAGAAAGCATGCCTCACATTTCAAGAAGGTCTCCAGGTCTGCACCTTAAAAATGCTGAATGGTGATGAAAGGAATTCTTTCAGAGCAAGAGGCTCCACAGAACTAATCCAGGCACTGTTTTGAGTAACCTGAAGTTTGATGATGCAAAGGTGAAACAGAAGGCTGCCTACAGTTCTTTTATATAACACCAAGATATAAACAAGGAAACTACAAAGCACAGATTATATCTAATTTTAAACTTTGTTATACATATCTCCTTAAAATTGGATAGATAGTGCCACGGATTTTTACATAGTTCTTTCTGAAATTTCAAAGGCAAATACCAATATTATTGGACAGATAGTATGAGGGCCAAGCTATATCTGCTCTTACAGTCAATAACTTAAAAGCATATTTATAATACTGGACTATGGAGAGGTCATTAAGACCTCTGGTTATGCACAGAAGGCATTTAACTCTTTTCTCTCTGGACATGACTCTGCTGGTCTCCCTGCAAACACTCCTAGCAATCATCAAAGGGAATCCTCCCACTAGCATCTTAAACAGCAAACCTTCTTGACTAAATAATGTGATGCACTGCCTATCCAGTCGAGCATCCCCTAGCTGAAAGAAAATGGTCAATATGGGAAAGGGGGAAAATTTATTTTCTTGTACAGTACATCTTGAAATTTTCCCTTGATTGCCATGGGACAGAAGATGCCCACATCAATATAAGGTTGATATAGAATCTTGATCCCATTTAGTTAGTTAGTTGAATTATTTATGTGCTGCCTTTCTCCCCATAGGTGACTGAAGGTGGCTTACAACTGATAAAACAACAGATTTAAAAACATTATATAATTATAATATTTAAAGAACAATTAAATATATAAGGTTTTTAAAAAAAAATCAAGTAAAACAAATAAAAAACACGTAAAAAACCTCCCTACTCCCAATGCCCATACCCCTATGCTTCTGGAGAGGCAGTATAGGTATTTATCTCTTATGTACAAGCTTTTTTACCAATGACATATGGAAATAAGTCACTAACCCTTTTTTAATGCAATTTCCTGGATGACCTCTATCTTCATTGTGTGTAGAAAAATGTTCTCCAGCTGTAACCAACATTTGCCAGGGAGTTGTTTTAGCAAATCTATAACGTATATTCTATCTGTAATGGTTTGAAGCTTTAGTGTGATTGTGTGATACACCTGTTACTAATTAGCACAATAAGTTTTCCTATCTTCCTTCTGTCTTACATTATTTTGTGCAACGTCTTTGATGTGATATTTATCTGCTGACAACCACTCATAGACCTTTGTAAAGAAATTAATTGATAGAAATATCACACCCCTGATGAGTAAATTGATGTTGCCTTTTGTTTGGCATACTGTACATTCAGGTCCTATCGCCTACAAATAGATTTAATTATAACTTATTTAACTTACTAGCTCATGTAATTAGAGCTTGATTTATAACTAATGTTCTTTATTTTTTTAAAGAAATTCATGTAAGATGAGAATATTCTTTTTAAAGGAATTAGT